AAGCACCTAGCCCTGCTCCCTCTCAGAGGCTGCCACCCTGGAGTGGGGAAGGAGAAGGGTGGTGGCCCCAAGGAGAGCTGGCAGCAGTGATTAGCACCCAGCTGGGCTTCAGATCTCAAGGACCTCCACTGGGCTGGGGACTGCCAGGTCCCCATAACTGCCCAGTCAGGGCGCAGGAGCAGAGCTGCCCCAGCTCCCTGAGGCCATGGGGCACGTGGCAGCCAGGGGCAAGACAGGAACCAGATCTCCCACATCTGCTCATCAGCATGGGCTGGGTTTTCCCGCCTGCGCCAGACAGCTCCCGAGGCAAGCACACAAACAACCCTACGTCACTGAGGAGGCTCATCTTCACTACGGGGGACGGGCCAAGACCAGTCAAGGGCTCCCAGCTTCCCCAGCCAGCTCCCAAGGCATCCGCTCCCCATGGACACCTCATCCCCTGAGCTGGGTGGCAATTGCTCTGCCAAAGGAACAGCACTTCCCGTCTTATTTTCAACAGCAACGCCCCTTCTGTGTTTGTGGTCTCGAGGAGTTGTGCCTGGAAGGCAGTTTCACCCGTCAGACTCTCAAGTAGGTGACGGTTGTTTGCCCAGACACAAAACTGCACCAGTAGCCCCAGCCCATGTCTAGTTTGGAGTCCAAGTCCTGCGTCGCCTACAGGCAGGTTCTCCACCAAGCCCTCAAGCTGCTCCAACTTTCATGAAGGTTGCCAAGATACAAAAAGAAGAGTTTTAGACGACGCTGACTGAAAGCTACAACTGGCACAGGACAGGCTTGAGCTGATGAAGCCCGTCCTAACCTACTATGGGCAGAAGGTCAGGACTGGAGACAGGTCTGCTGGTCCATACCCAGTCCAGTGGCCCACAGGACGTGGGCTCAGCCCCACTGGCTACACTGGTTGTGACCTTTGGTAGCACAGCTCCACCAGTGCATTGCATTTCAGGCCAACCACGTGGAAGTTGCTCTCAAGTCACCTAGTTCTTCAGCCGCACACAGGACATCACTGTGCCATCTGAGGCCCAGCCATAGCAGAGTCCTTGGGAAGGGTTGTCCTTCATCCATGCAGCCACCTGAGCACATTGCCACAGCCTAAGTCCTTCTCAGTTTGTGCAAGGAACCATGCAGCTCTCCTGATGCTTACACTTGGGAGCTACCTGGGATATCTTCGGTGGTCAGCAGCCAGCTAATGCACCCCAGAACAGCTTCAGATGTTCACCTCTGTGGTCTCCAGGACCTCCATGATCAGTAGTCCAACCAGGAATCAAGTTGCCCATGGTGCATGGGTCACATCTGCAGGCAATGGGCAGCACAGGCAGTGCTTCTGCTCTGCAGGCTGCAGCTGAACTTGTGACCTGTGAAGTCCTGCACAAGGGACCCAACAGCCACACGTTCTTCACCTCCAGTCCCACTGCATCAACCCCCTGACAGAGCCTGGCTCTGGTCACCAAGCGACGATGGATACCATCTTCTGCGCACCAGAGCGGGTGCAGCCCCTGGCAGAAGGCCAGCTCACCAAGGCCATTTCCAAGACATCCTTGTAAGTGCCTTCAGCCAGCCTGACTGCTGTAAGCCCTCTCCTGCAGAGGGGGACCTGCTGCTCCCAGTCCCCATCCCAAGACATCATCCAGGCAAGCAAACCCCGGAGCGTCTTGGATTCGCACAGATGGCCCTGTGAGGTATCAGGCACCATGTGAGGTGAAGAGCCGCCATCGAGCCTGCACCCCCCAGCACCCTACAGGCAGGAGGCTGGTACAGATGCCTGTTCCTCCACCCCAGGGCAGCCCCAACCAGGGAGAGCACTGCCACAGAGGGGCCTTTATGGCCCATGGTGGGGTGTGGCTGCCCCTGATTGGCTGGGCCAGCTGACAGGTGGCAGCTCCAGATTGGCTTGGAGCGGTCTCCCTTGCCCTGTGATTGGTGAGCTGCTGCTGGGAAGGGTAAGACTGCAGCAGTGACAGGTGGCAGCACGTGGTTGGCTGGGGGGAAGCGCCAGGTGGCAGACCAGGATTGGTCAGGCCTGGGTGTTGCTTGATTGTGGTTGGTGGAGGCAACACGAGGGCAGGAGGGAGGGGGTAGAAAAAGGGAGGGACAGGTGGCAGTGTGGGATTGGCTGGTAGGCTGTGCTGGTGTGTGGGGATTGGCTGGGGCCAGGTGGCTGGGCAGTGGTGCTGAGGAGGGGCTCCCTGTGCTGGCCCATGCACTGAGCTGTGCCCTGTCTCAGCCCACAGTGCCAGAACCAGCCTGTCCCTGCCCCACTCCATGCCCGGGGCAGCATCTGCCCTCCCTGCACCAAAGACACAGGAGCATGTCTGGGGGGCATGGGGTGGCGGGGGGCTGCCAGACCCCCCAGGACACAGCTGTGACTGCAGGTTGGTACCCGGAGGGCGTAGAAAC